TGTGTTGTGATGGTATGAATCGGAGTTGCATTTTTAAGGCTATTTCGTTGTATGCAGATGTGGGAGAATGAAATTGTTGGATGCAGCTATTATGGAAATGGCAACATCATTTTGTGTTCCCATCAATGATGTACCAGAGTTCAACTTTCTCCACATCCTGGCCCACCCTTGTTATTTGCTGTCTTCGTGGCAGCAGTCATGAATTTGAAGGGCAGCTGGTTCTGCATCTGTGGATTCCACCAACTGTGCATCCAACATATTTGAAAGAAAAATCAGTTACATCTGTACTGAAGCATGCCTAGACTCTTTTCTTCCCACAATTCCCCTAACAATACAGAAAAAGCAAGGACTTACATAGCCCTTACACTGTGTTCCATTGTGTGGAATCTGTGCACATACTACGCCATTTCATTGAAGGGACTTGAGCATCAGGATTTTGGTATTCGCAGCATGTCCTGAAATGGCTCTTTGCAGACACTGAGGACTGACTGTATATTAGCTTTTAATGGACTATATTTACTTGTAAGTCTATATAATTGAAGTTTTAAAAAGTTTTATCTATTTATTTGAGAGACAGATCTCCCTTCTGCTTGTTCATTTGCCCAAATGTCCACAATGATTGGCACTGAACGAGCCTATGCTGGGAGCTGGGAACTTGGTACGAATCTCCCACTGGGTGTCAGAACTGGGACTGTCCCCATTGCTTTTCGGTGTGAGCAGTAGCAGGAAGCTGGATCAAGAGCCAGTGCCAGGCGGTGAGCCCAGGCACTTGGTTATGGGACATGAATTCTTCTAGACTAAATGCCTGTCTCTAATTTAAACTTGAATCCTGGCTGCATTTAACAGTAGTTTCAAAAAATTCCGGAAAGTGTCACAGCCAGCTCTTGCGGGTGGGTGTGATCGTGCTCACACACACCTACCATTGCAGTGTCCCAAAGGGAAACTCACAGAACTCATAGAGCTCAAAAGATCTGGACCATTCTGAAGGCTGCTCTTCACCAGGCAATAAACTGCTCAGTGCTGGAGCTTCTGTGCGCATGAACCTCCCTACACATACAGAATATGTGCTCTTGTTTTCTGATTCTGTTGGATGAGCATTTCCCGTCTAAGAGTATGTGCCCAGAGCTCCGGGCCACATGGCAGAAAAGGGTTTGTGTGTGTGTCCAGCCTGCAGCCCTAGGGAGCTGCCGTGGCCACCGTGGAATGTCCCAAGAGACGGCACTGGCCTTAAGTTCCCCAGGGGCCCTGCTTCCCCGCTCCCCCACGCCCTGGAGCCCTTGGCTGCTCTGCTGCTCCGTGGCCTTTCCCCCCAGGGGATTTGGTGACCCGAGGCATTTTTGTGCTATACTCCAAAGAAGAAATCATTTCCAGAGAGATTCAGTGTGGCCTCTGGTCTGAATGTCTCCTGTGGAGAGGCGTCTGAGCAGAGTTTTAGCCTGTGCAGTGGTAACCTATGGGTGTGCAGCAGGTCAGCCTTGGGACTTAGACACGGTCAGATGCTGGACTCCATGGAGGCTGTGGGACAGTCTGCTGAGGAACCGTGGAGAACGCCGCATCCTGGCGACCTCCTGGTCATCGTGGGAGTAATGGATTGTGAGTGCAAGTATGTGTGCATGTCTGTGTCTGTCATGGTACGTTTGTGCGCATGTGTGCGTGCTGTGGTACATCTGGGAGGGTGAACTCTGCTACTTTGCAGTTCTCCTGTAGCTTATGTCCAGCAGCCTGGGGACCCTGTCCTCACCACAGACATTCTGTGGCTGGAGTGTGTGGGCGACGACTGACATCAGAGCTCCCATTACATTTTTCTTCGGCATGTTTATTTTTGTTAAGTGCTTTATTATTTTTTTATGAGCTCAGCATTACAGAAATCCAGGGAATTTGCCCCTTGACTCAGCTTCTTGCTGGAGCAAACAAAAGGCCCTTGGTGTGGCAGGGGAGGGGGCCTAGCAGTGTGACCCCCTTTTGGCCCCACCTCTGTGGAATTTCAGCTTCTGCCGACTGCAGCCCCTGGGGGAGAGACCCCAGCTCTCACCCAGCTCCTGGCTAAAGCTCTGTGTCTCAGAGACTTGTGCCCAGTCATCTTCCAAAGCTAAAAGCTTTACCATTTTAATCTTTGCAGGTTTTAAAGGATCTCAAGTTGCATACTTAATATTTAAAGGACAGATTGTATCAGGTGACAGGTGTGTGTGTGTGTGTGTGTGTGTGTGTGTGTGTGTACCCTGCTCCAGCATGCCCTACCCTGGATTGACAGTCTTACTGCTGCCTCCTGCCTGCCCTGTCCCCTCCACACATGTCCTCTGTCCACCGAGGTGGCCCAGGGCAGTGGGCCCTGCCTAGGAGGAGCACATTCTCCAGTTAGCTTTCTCTTCCCTTTCCTCACAGGTCCTCATCTTGAGTAAATGCTATTTACAGTCTCCTTTAGCCTGCGTTATTTTTTCCCATCTGAAAACAAAGCCCTTCTTGTTTGAACTCAGAGCATGCCTACATCACAGAGGCGTAGGGATTTCCAGGTCATTTCACTTGACTGCCCCCATCCTCCACAGGCATGGAGGCGCGTGGACCCCAGGAGAACTCAGCAGCTTTCAGTATCTATGGGGAACGTGTGGTCACCGAGCCTCGGCAACTCCCGCTTCTCCACATGGCCACTTCCTTCTTGGGGGTGACCAAGTTTGTACCTTGGTGGTAACTTGGGTGGGTTTTAGCTGAAATTCCAAATGGGGAGATGGTGACCCCATTCCCTCTCTGGGTTCAGCAGCCCTGAGAGCTGGACACTATGCTGATGTTGCTTGTGTGGGGGATGGACATGGCACGTTAGTGATGGGGAACTTGGTGCTGTGCAGGAGGTAGTTGCCATGCCTGTGATTGAAGGCACTGAAATGCAGCTGTGCCCAGCTGTAGGAGTCTCCTCTCTGTACCCCAGGCCACCCCGCTTTTGCAGTTCTCCATGCTTATAGTGCCTTTGTTAGTGCTTCTGTGAACTGGTACACATATACAATGCTTAGTCCTTTTATATACACTTGGAATCAAGGCCCAAGTAGCTCCTCTCTGGCTCTGTGTCCCAGCAGATGCGAAGTATCGGGGCCATCAATGCACTAGTCCCTACTACAACAGTTCCCAGGGTGGCTGGGCACAGAGCTGGCCTGTACTCCTTGATCAAATGGCTATACCTCCTGGGGCCTGGAGGTCTGCATAGCCCAGGCTTTGTGCCACATGTACAGTGGGAAGAGTTGGGGTGAGTGTTGAGTAAATGGGAGGTTGGGGAGAAAAATCAGCCCTGGGGAAGAATCTGCTTTGTTTACAAATGGTGAGGTTGTGCTGGGTGTGGCTCCTGCACCTTCCAGGTGTTGAAGGCAGGGTGGCACTCAGAGGCCTTGTTCCAATGGGTTTGCAGTTGGTCCACAGTTGGTTGCACGTGGGGTGTGCTGGGGAGTAATCCCATAGCTCCTTCTTGACCCCTTATCCTGAAAACAGGTCTGCAGCTGCCCAGGCCCTGAAATACCTTCGTTATTAGAGTTCAAAGACTGTCCTTCCAGCCACCACTGGCTTTATTAAGCATCTGCTGTTGCAGTCTCTGACAGGCTCACACTGTAGACCCTGTGCATGGGTGAGACACCCCTCCTGCCCACAGAGCCATCCTGTGGACTCTGTGTTTGTTCCATCTCTGAAGCTAAGCTGGGGCATGAATGGGCTCTTTGAAAAACTAAAGGAAGAAGACCCAGAAGCACACTTGGTCTGCTCTGTGGAGGAGAGGTTCTGGGGTTGGTGTGGGGTCTGTATGGGCAGCCTGGTCCCCATTGTGGTGATGTTAAGAGGAGGGGCTCATGGGAACTTGTTACTGGTTCGTTGCCGATCCCCTCCCCACTTTCTGTCTGTGAGATGGTTCCTGACAGGTGGTCCTCCAGACCCAAACAAATGCTGCGGCCATATCCTTAAACTTCCAGAACTGTGAGCAACATCAAGCTTTATTCTTTAGAATGTATGCAGCCTCTGGTATTCCATGATGGTGAGGGAAGACAGATCAGTGCCCTGGGGTGTCAGACCACCTGACTCGGTGGGAGGACACAAAGCTTACCTTGCATTCTTTAGGAAAGGAGATACATCACCTCCTTTTATTAGAGGGAGGGGGAAGATATGGCTATAACAATAAAATATCAGTTTAAAATACTTCAAATAATAAAAATGTCCATTTACAATACTTTATTGCCATGTTCTGTCTGTGTCACCCACTGTGCTCCAGTTTTTGTTTCAGAAGATAGAATCCCTTGGAAGTGCTAAACACAGAAGAGATGTTTGCTAGTGTAGGAATCCAGCCAGGGAGAAGGGGAGCCCATGGAGAGCGGCCTTCCCCCAGGCATTTGTTCATGTGAGGTGGACTCAAGGCCAGATGCACAGTGGTTGTTGGGAAAGGATATCCTTTGCTGCCATGCTCTGCTTGGAGAGGGTAGGGAATGACTGCAGAGTTCTCATTATCATTAGCTGCTTACATTAAACTTGCATTTTCTTCAATGATTCCACTGATCCTTTCAGATCTTTCCAGGCATAGGGGGACCCCGGAGGAGGACTTAGAGGTGTTGGCATTGACCATCAGATTATAACCCAGCCTTCTTTTTTAAGGGTTACCCAGTTTAATGCTTACAATAGCCATGCCAGGGCAGAGGGATTCTCCTTTCATAGATGAGGAAACTGAGGCTGTAAAAGGCCATCATCTTCCTGTGACCACACGGCTGACCCCTGGTGGGGCTGGGACTTGAGCTCATTGATCAGACAGTATCCCAATTCTAGATGTGAGAGAGAGAGGTTGGCAGTGTTAGTGGGAGCTGAAGAAGCAACCAGCTGACATGGACAGCACTGTGTGCAGAGCTGCGCAGCCCGGACTGTCACAGCTGGGAGTTGGGTTCACTCCTGGGTTTTGGATTCCTTGTGGCCCTGGGTGGGTGGTTGTATGCGTGGGGGTATGTCTGGGTTTGGATTCTGGATTAATTCTTGAATTTTTATTTTAGGACATAACTTGGCAAGATGAGCACTCGGCCCCTTTCTCTTGGGAAACAAGGGTAAGTTGGGTTAAATTTAGGTTTATTTGACCTTTCAAAGAGAACTGAGCAGTGATATGTCCTTTGGCTGTTTACTGAACTTGGAAGGCAGTGGTCCCCACTGCCAGACTGTAGGTGACCTGCTCAAGGGGTTAGAAAACTGTTGTGTGTGCCTGTGTGTGTGTGGCAGAGGGAAGAGCTGGTGATGGAATTCAGAGGAACAATCAGTGCTGTCAGCCAGGGCTGGTGATACCCCACGATGCCCATGCACTGGCTTCCCACCCAACACCATCTCAGGGCCCTGTCTCTGCTCATGCCTCTGCCAGCTAGTGCCCAGCACCTTGGTGGGAGTGCCCCATAAGGGAAAGCTTTCAGCAAATGGAGACTGGTGTTTTTAGCCAGTTGACATAGACATGCATAGATTTATCTTATGTAGCCTGATTTGGGTCACTAAGCCTGATCTCTGAGTCATCTGGAGGGTTTTTTTTTTTAATTTTTTTGTTTGTTTAGTTTTAATGGCTTTTTTGGGTTACATTTTTATTTTAAATTTTTGAATTTTATGATACAATTTTGTAGAGACTGGGATTCCACAACCCCCAAAAATCTTACCCCCCGCCTGATTTTCCCCATGTTGCTACAATAGTATAGTCTTTCATAAGGAGTCATGATTCCATCAGTCTGTTATTGAAGTGTACCCCGACATTGCTGGTACAGACTGTGTCAGATGTACCAGCATCGCATTGGCTACACATTTCCAGCAGTTTCATTGGGAGTCCATCTTTGATTTGGAAGCAGAGATGCATATTGCATTATATCCCCACATCTGGATATGGTAGTCGTATTTTATGTGAAAGGCAGAATGACACACACAACACACACACCCAGAGGGAGACATATCCAGAGATCTTTCATCTGCTGGTTCATTCCCCGCTGGCTGTAGTGCCCAGGCTGGGCAAGACTGAAGACAGGAACCTGAAACTCTGTGTCTTTCATGTGAGTGGCAAGGCCCCACAGGTTTGGGCCATGTTCTGATGCTTTTCCAGGTGCATTGGCGGGGAGCTGGAGTAGGAAGTGAAACAGCCAGGATTGGAACTGCCCATTAGGATGTGAGCATCTCAGATGGCAGCCAACCTGATGTGCTCCAATGCCAGCCTCAGCTAAACATTTTTTTTTAATTACTGTTATTACCTTGTTATTACCTGAATACCTTAAGACTAACTAATTTTTAAAATACATATTTATATGTATACAGAGTTACACCAAGAGAAAGCAGTAGAGGAGAGACAAAAATCCTCCATCAATTAGTTCACTCCACAAATATCTGCAATGGGCAGGCTGATACAAGGCATCTGGAAGTCCATCTGAGTCTCTCATGTAGGTGACAGGGCCTCAAGTACTTGGACCATCTTCTGTTGATTTTCTGAGGCTATTAGCAGGCAGCTGGATCAGACGTGGAGCAGCCCAGACATGAGCGAGACACAGAACATGGGATGTTGATATAGCCAGGCTGATTTTACCTATGACACTAGCCTCCAAGTCTAATAGATTTTTTAAAAGATTTATTTATTTTTATTACAAAGTCAGATATACAGAGAGGAGGAGAGACAGAGAGGAAGATCTTCCGTCAGATGATTCACTCCCCAAGTGACTGCAACGGCTGGAGCTGAGCCGATCTGAAGCCAGGATCCAGGAACTTCTGGGTCTCCCATGCAGGTACAGGGTTCCAAGGCTTTGAGCCATCTTCTATTGCTTTCCCAGGCCACAAGCTGCATGGGAAGGGGAGGCTGCTGGGATTAGAACCAGCACCCATATGGGATCCCAGCACATTCAAGGCAAGGGCATTAGCTGCTAGGCCATTGTGCTGGGCCCCAAGTCTAATAGATTTTAATTTATTTTAATTATCACCCTAGATTCTTTTTTTTCTTTTTTTAAAGATTTATTTTATTTTTGTTGGAAAGGCAGCTATACAGAGAGGAGGAGAGACAAAGAGGAAGATCTTCCGTCCCATGATTCACTCCCCATGCTGTAGCTGAGCCAATCCGAAGCCAGGACCCTCTTCCGGGTCTCCCATGCGGGTGCAGGGTCCCAAAGCCTTGGGCCATCCTCGACTGCTTTCCCAGGCCACAGGCAGGGAGCTGGATAGGAAGCGGGGCTGCCGGGATTAGAACCGGCGCCCATATGGGATCCTGGGTGTGCAAGGCGAGGACCTTAACCACTGCACCATTGCGCTGGGCCCCACCCTAGATTCTTCAATAAATACAATCATAAGCAGCAAAATGACTAAAAAGCAAGTTTCTTCAATTCAAGGAAAAGAAACAAAAGACCAAAATTTTCTGAATTCTAACAGTGCTTAGTGTTGGAAGGTTCTCATAGTGAGTGTATGCTATAGAGAAACACAACTGTGTGCCTGTTCAGACTGGGGATCGTGTCAGGGACTGGTATTTTCACTTCTTTAAATGTAAATAAAAATTATTTATTTATCTATTTATTTGAAAGGCAGAGTTACAGAGAGCAAAGAGGCAGAGACAGGGAGAGATCTTCCACTCACTGGTTTATTCCCCATCTGGTCTCAATGGCTGGGACTAAGCCAGGCTAAAGCTAGGCATCTGGGACTTCATCTGGGTGAACCATATGGACGGCAGGGGCTCAAGCTGCCTTCCCAGGTGCATTTGTAGGGAGCTGGACCAGAAGTGGAGCTGCCTTGCCTAGCCCCTGCCCAATGTAATGAGATATCAATTTTGGGTCAACTAACTGCTACAATACTAGCTCCTGATCAGGAGTTTAAGTGCTGCAACTTAAAAAAAAAAAAAAGATTTTTTTTTTTAAGAACAAGTTTTATGGAACAGTGGGTTAAGCCACTGCCTGCAGTGCCAGCTGGTTTGAGTCTCAGCTGCTCTGCTTTTAGTCCAGTTCCCTACTAATGTGCCTAGGAGGTACTTGGACTTCTGCCATTCACCTGGAAGAACCAGATAGCGCTCCAGGTTTCTGTATGGCCCAGTCCTGACCACTGCAGCCATTTGGCAAATGAACAGCAGACAGAAAAGATTCCCTTTGCTGTCTGTGGCCATACCACCCTGAACGTGCCTGATCTCATCTGATCTTGGAAGCTAAGCAGGTTTGGGCTTGGTTAGTAGTTGGAAGGGAGTTTGCTGGGTCCTGAACATCTTAATTATAAAGTCACATATGTCTGTGTTGCTTGACTTATTTTTTATTTCTACTGCAGATTAGCTAATCACCTCCATCTGTGTGGGGTTGGGGGTGGGAATCAGGTAATGAAAATGGTTTGTTTGCAAGTCAGAGTCTCACTAGGGATCTGGGCATTGGTTGGAGTGGTGATCTGGGTTGGGGTAGGGTGGAGAGCAGGATGTTAGGAGCAGCCTGGAATTCCAGTATCCTGTGCATCCAATGACAGATCCATTGCAAAGCAAGTTGTGGGTCAACAAGAAGGACACCGTTGTATTAATACTGAGCTGGGGCCCTCATCGCTCCTCTCACATGGACTCCAAATGGGGAAGGGGTGGGAGGCTCTCCTATACAGATCAGGGATATCAGGCCCGTGAAATCATTTGGTCTGACCATGTCAAGGCAATTGTCCACGGGCCTCGAAATTCAGTAACTGCATAGGCAGGCTGATTTTTAAGTCGATTTTTTTTACGATCCCATAAATAACGTTATGAATTCCCAAGACACCCTTAACAGAAACAAGGTTCCACACCCATAGATGATATCCATGCTAGAGGTGATGTGCAACCCAGCAGTGATGGGCAGATGCGTACACTGCGTGTGGAACGAGCAGCTCTAATAGAGGAGTTGCAGAGCGCTTGTGGCTGTTGTCGCACCGAGATTCCATACCCTGGTGCTCTAGTCATCTCATCTCATTGTTAATCCTGGAGCACTTCCTTCCGTCTTAGTCCACCGTCCACTCGTTCTTTCTTCCTCTCTCCCTCCCTGCTTCTTTCCTGTTTCTTTTTTGCTCTCCTTTGTAATTATATCAGAACACCTGAAGCATAAACTCCATCATCTTCATTTTTTTATAACTTTTTTCCCCCAAAGATTTATTTATTTTTATTGGAAAGGAATATTTGCAGAGAGATGGAGAGACAGGGAGAAAGATTTCCATCTGTTGGTTCTCTCCCTAAGTGACTGCAATGGCCAGAGCTGAGCTGATCTGAAGCTTCTTCTGGGTCTTGTACATGGGTGCAGGGTTCCAAGGCTATTGCTTTCCCAGGCCGTAAACAGGGGACTGGAAGGGAAGTGGAGCAGCCAGGACATGAATCAGTGCCCATATGGGATCCCAGTGGATGCAATGCAAGGACTTTATCCACTAGGCTACTGCACTGGGCCCCCACCATCTTCATTTTTAAGTATGCAATTCTATTTACCCTGTTGTACAATCATTACCACTATCCATCTCCAGAACTCTTAAAATTATTCTTAAGTTGACAAATGATACTTGTAGCCATTATAGAAAGATAAAGACAAGCTCACCACTGAATCCTGCCCTCTCTTCATCCTGCACTCTCTGCTGGCATTCTGTACCCACAAAGCCTGTTCCTTCCTCCTCCCCCACCTTGGGCCCTTGATAACCATCACAGGAGGCATTCTGGGAAGGGAGGCCTGCCTGTCCTGGAGGACGAGGGGAGGTCACGCTTGTCAACTTTTCCAGTTGTCCATCAGAGTGGCAGGCAGGCTGTGGAGGAGGGTGCCCATGGGGACCTGATGGTGCATTCCTCTCTCATGCTGCCGATGCTTCGAGAGGAAAAAACCACAGCACTTGGAATGCTCCAGACAAGGGGGCAGGGTGTGGGGAGGATTCTTTTCATTCCCTGGGCATCTGGGTTAGAGAAGGGGGAGGCTGACCACTGAGGCAGGTCATGTCCTGGCCCTGGCCAGTGAACTCTTGGGACCCTCAACTCCGCCACTGCTTCCCTCCCTCACATGCCACTGGCTTGCTTCTCTCCCTGCCACTTCCTCTGGTCCTTCCCTTGATGTCCAGCTGCCTTTTTTTTTTTTTGAATATT